GGCTGGAAATGCACAGAGTTTAAATCATCTTGGCTTGAAACCTAGGGTGGAAACCGTCAGGGGTGTGTTACGTGTTTACTTACAAAGAGATGTATTAAACACATGAATCGACAAATAGCAAGTACCAGAGCAGCACAAAGCAAAACCAGTTTGGCTGAAATCAAGCATTTGATTAAAAATGAGATTTGATGGGCATTTACTAGTGCCTTCCTCTGCCTGCCCACACACAAGCAGAACTCTTTGTATGCTTCCAAGGACGGGTTTTTTGCCATTTGAAAGTCTGTTTCCCGAGTGCTTTGTGCCATTTAAAGTCATCCCCATGCTGTCCAGTTCAGGGCTGTGCTGTGCTTGGTGCTGTGTGAGCATAGAGGCAGGCTGAAATCCCTTGCTGAAACCCATAGGAAAAGCATTCCCAAATCAATGGGTTTATTCCAGGTGCTGCCGATAAGGAGATCTTTCACCTGGCACTCGGATGTTTGTGATCCTGCAGGGACACAAGTAAGCATTTGCAGAATTAAGGGTTTATTTAAGCCTTTATTAAGAAAGGGAAGGAAAAGAGTAAGAAAGGGGAAAGGAAACGCGGCGTGCCCAAGTTTCTCATGCAGAGATACTGATGCACGTAGCACTTCTAGAACGTGCAAGCGCTCCGCTCGCCCATGGGGAGCCAGCCTGGGGTGAGATAAGAGTTCCACCCATGTTGCCTGCGGCTGATTGAGACTATCAAGAGGTGTTGGGGTGGATGTGCCGTTAGGGAACGCAGCCCAGCGCCCCGGAACTGGCAGAATTGGGAATCTGCATTTGGTCCCAATGTTCCCTCCCGAGCTGGCAAGTGAGATTCCCGCTCCGGATGAGTGACAAGTTGGAGCTTTGAAGCAGGAACATTTGCCCACCGAAGCTGCAGAACTCATCCACTGCCAAGTCTGCCAATAGATTAGCATAGGCAGGGAGTGGTGGACGGTACCAACTGTGTTATGCTCCTTTGGGTCCCACTTGCCTGCCTGCACGAGGGAGCAAGGCCACACTCCTCAATTACAATCAGTATCATGTCCCTCTCTGCAGCAACCTCTAAGCATTTCACATTGAGGATCATAGTGTTTCTCAGGCAGAAAGCTGAGGCACCAGAAAAGGGACAGATACTTTGGGGCAGACTTTAATGGTAAACTTGATTTTTACAGTGTGAATGCTCTCACTTGGACACTGCCTTTCAGCTGCAGGTTACAGCCCCTGCCCTGGGGCAGCACAGTGGGATGGGTGCCCACCTCTGCTCTCAGATGCTTCAGGGCATCAGCTGGTGTCTCTAGGACAGGGACAGATTGAGGTGGGATGGATGCTCAGCTAACAAAGCAAGCCCTCTCTGAGGCTGGCTTCCCCTTGCAGGCAGCCTGAAAACCACCACGGCCCTGGTTTTAGTCCATGCCCGCATGCACTGGAGATGTGGGGCTACATGTCCTCTGTCTGACTTTGCTCTGGGGCTGAGGCTCCATCCATGGCCAAAGAGCAGCTGATAAGGTGGTTGGGGGGCAAGGGCAGCTCAAGCTGCAGCAGTAGGATTGCTTGTGGGGGATCCTTGGGCAAAGAAAGGTTGTGGAGGAGCAGAAGGTGACACAAGCATTTGTGTCAGTCCTCAGAGCCCAGTCGCTGCTGGGTCATGTTCAGAGCTGGCCTGGGTTGGTTTTCACCTGCCCTGTTTATCTGCCAGTGTTCCTAGTGTTGGCAGCCCGTATTTGATCATTTCTACCTGGTTTTAACTGCCACATTCACCAGGTTCATTGGTATAAGCAAGCAAAGTGGCACCACGGTGGCATAGGTATAAAGCTAAAGATGCTCTGTGTGTGAGAGCAGTTCTGCTGAAAGCAGAGGGGATGATCCAGGGGGAGCAGAGCAACGGTGGGGTCCCCTGAAGTGCCCTGGCTTCAGCTGCACCCCCAGGCTTTGCCTTTGCCACCGGGGTGAGCTCAGGGGCTGCTCAGCCCTGGACAAACCAGGACAGTCCCCATGGGGCTGAGCCTGTTCTCCCCATCCCCACTTCTTCCCCTGGGGTGTCCGCTGCTTTTCCGGGGGGGGTACCGTGTCTTGGGAAGGGGGGAACCCGGTTCCCCATCCCTGTTCCTGCAGCCAGGGCCACTCCATCACCCTCCCCATCACCAAGGCATAGCCCCGGCGCCGGGGCTGAGGCTGTAGCAAACTCCCTCGCAAGAGCTGTTTGTTGACCACATTCACGTTCCGAGCCCTGAAGCTAAAAGCACTTTACACCATAAAATAAAAGCACTGTCTTTTTTTCCAAAAGGTTACGTCTGGAGGCCACGCTGCTCATACTTCATACAGAAAACTACTGAGAGGGCTATGAAATCCTCTATGATTTACACCCCCTCTCAGTGCATTAGGATATAGATCTACTCCACTCTAAAAATACTGTGCAGTTTCTAACCGACGTGAATATATGTGCATTATTTCAGAAAGTCTGTTAGAAAACTTGTCAACACATTATAAAGCATAAACCAGGGCTCGGCCATTAAATACAGAGATCAGAGACGGGATATATACTGCAGGAAGTACTGGGAAAAGTCCCTTCCATTCAGAAGAGGTCTATTAGCTAGAAGTTTACACACAGCATACACCAAAGGGTTTAGAGCGAGCCCGTGGACCGTAATTACAAGGCATAAATGGAATCAGCGAGGGCTTTACGGTCCCCAGCGCAGTTAACTGGGGCTGCCAGAAAATCATCTTAATATTGTCATAATTTATTACCCACCGAAAAGCCACATCAAGGACTGTAAATACAGTGACTTGGTGTCCACGACCGCTCGTTAAAACAGCCTCGGTTCCCTTCCCCTAAAAACCCCATCAAATCTAAACCCACCTGCATTATTAATCTGCGGTCGTGCCGTGTTAAAAATGTCTTCTGGTTCCTTTTCTTTCCCAAAAGGTTTGCTATCTGCCGCCAATCCCATGGCGCTGGGAAGGGGAGGGGGGGATAGGGACGTGGTGGGGGGAGCACAGCACCGCTGCCAGCACATGCTAATAGGGATAGTGCTCCAGCCAGGCTGAAATATTGTGGGGTATTTTTTTGGCCGTGTTTAAGGCAGCGAAGTTTCCATTGAATTCGAGGCATTTTTACGGAGCTGGAATTAAGGGCATGCTAATGGTAGGCACATCCTCGCTGCCGTTCGTGAAAGCAGCTGTAAAACCAGCTCCCGACTGTAAGGTTTTGAGATGCGGTCGGGGAAGTCACCTCTGGAATCTCAAAAGCCGGCGGGATAAGAAACCCGGTTTAGTTGTAACCAAGTGCTCAATTTGCTATGATTTTTAAAGAGCGAATCAATGCAATGTTGCCTGTTATTCCTTGGGAATACCCACGGGCAGGTATTCTCCTGCTGCAGGTTGGCTTCCGAGAGCGCACAACTGCCTAATGAATTGTAATTCCGAGGACTGTTAACTGCGAACCGCAGAACCTTTCAGGGGTAATAAAGTCATTACTTTTTACACTGCAGCCACCTCGCCAAGCTTCAGACGTGCTCTCGGATATAAATCACACCCGGGTCGCTCTCCGGTACACACACACACACACACACACACACACGCACCTGCCTATGGAGGCACGGTTCGCACCGGCAACGCGTATCCTTCCCTCTTTCCACACTCACCCTTACAGCACCCATGGGTGCACCCGGTGCCCGCCGCTCTGCACGGGGAGGGACCCGTCCCACACCGGAGCCGCTCGCCCCGCCGGCAGGTCCCCGGTCCCCGCCCGTCCCCTTGGTTCCCGGGCGGGCGCAGCTCCGCGCTTACAGCCTCGGTCACGGTGTCGGGCGGCCGCTTCCCCCCCCCTCCCACCCCGCCCCGGGTCTCTCGTCCCTGCTCCGTTCTCGCCTCCTCCGTCCTGGCCGCGGGTGATCCCCTCGCACTCCCGTCGCAGCCGCACTTCGCTCCGACCGCCCGTTCTCCTCCGGAGCTCGTTTCTCCCGCACAACCTGAGCCCTCCCCGTTGCCGGCACCGTCTCCGTCTCTCCGGGTGTTTTCGGCCAAGTTGCAGCCGCCGCATCCTCCCAACTCCAGACACTTCTCGCTGCCTCCCGCCGCCTCTCCCCCTCCCCAGTCCCCCCGCCCTCCGCCGGTGCCAGCCCCGCGTTTCGCTTTCGTTAAGACACCGCGGCTGCGGGCAGGGCTGGGACTGCCGCCGGGGGGGGGAAGGAAGGGGGCTCCGGGCGGGAGAGAAGCCCGCGGCGAGGTCCCGCCGCCCCTCTCCTCCTGTGCCCGGCTGCGCTGCGCTCGCTGCTCCCCCGGGGCAGGCACAGCCCGGACCGGAGCCGGGGCAGAGCCCGCCGCTCCCCGCCGAAGTTTCCCGCGGGCCCCGGCCCCCTGCGCCCCGCAGCTCCCCGCGGGGCCGGGCCGCAGCTCCCGGGAGGAGGAGGAGGGGACTCAGCCGGGCGGGGAAGGGAGAGGAGGGGGGGGGTAAGGGAGGGAGCGGGGAAGCCGGGAGCCGGATGGGCCCCCCCTTGCTTTTTGGGTGGTCTCCGGTCCTACCTGGCTCCCCCCAGCTCTCCCGCCGGCTCGGCGCATCCCGAGGCCAGCCTTGCCCCGCAGCCCTCCTGCTCCCGGCTCCGGCTTCACCGAGGCTTTTCCAGCGGGGAAAGGGAGGGGGGGGGTGTGTGTGTTTGTGTGCGCGCTCCCTCTCCCTTTTCCTCCCCTCTTTCCCCGCGTGTGCATGTCCAATCCCCCCCCCCCTTTCCCTCGCCCCTCTCCCGCTCCTCCGCGGCCACTCGCGGCTCCGGCCGCCGCCGCCCCCCGGCCCCTCTCGGCAGCGTGCGCCGGGCGGCCGGTGCAAACCCCAACCACCCCCCCCCCCTTTGCGCCCCCTCCCCTCTCCCCCCTGCGATCACTGTCCATTGGCTTGTCCTGCTCTCTTTTTCATGTCCAGCCCCTGATGAGTGTCCATTGGTGTTGCCTTCGCCTTCCCTCCTCCCCTCTCCCCGGCTTGCCCTGCCCATGTTTTGTATGTCTCTGTCCATCCAGGCTCCTGACGTTCAAGTTCGCAGGGACGTCACGTCCGCACTTGAACTTGCAGCTCAGGGGGGCTTTTGCCATTTTTTTCATCTCTCTCTCTCCTTCTCTCCCTCTCTCTCCCTCTCTCTCTCTCTCCTCTTTTTTTTTTTTCCTTTTTTTCCTTGCACAAAAAAAAAAAAAAAAAAAAAAAAGCCATGACTGCTATCCCACAATTCATCTTCCCTGCGCCATCTTTGTATTATTTCTAATTTATTTTGGATGTCAAAAGACATTGATGAAGATATTTTCTCTGGAGTCTCCTTCCTCTCTAACCCGTCTCTCCCGATGTGAACCGAGCGACTCACAAGCCACCGAAGCCACCAACCCACCATGTCGCGCCGCAAGCAAGGCAAACCCCAGCACTTAAGCAAACGGGAATTTTCACGTAAGTAACGCGGGGAGCAATTTAATTTCATTTGCATTTCATGGGTTTAATTTAATTTCTCTTTTTTTTTTTCTTTTCTTTTTTTTTTTTTTTTTTAAATTCGAGAGCGGGAGGAAAACGGGAGAAAAAAGAAAAGGGGGGAAAAAAAAAAGTGGGAGCGAGTGAGCGACTCGGGTTTGAAATGAACTCAGCGCGGCGCGGGGTTCGCGGCATTCCGCTTAATTCCTCCGGCTCTCATTTAATCACCTTGATCACTTTTCTTCCCTCTCCGCTCCGTGCCCCTCGCCCGCCGGCGCGCACTGCTTCCCTCCTTCCCTCCCTCCCTCCCTCCGCACCGCTCTCCTCCCGCTCTTTGGCGGCAAGAGCCGGGCTGCTCTGGCCCCGGCACCGGTAACGCTGCGAGCGGGGCAGCACCGCTCCAAAGTGGGAACGAATCCCAGCGGGAGCGGCGGGCACCGCGGCCGGGCGCGATCGGAGCGCAGCGGAGCGGCCGTGGCACAAAGTCCGGCGGCCGGAGCCCCGCGCCGCTCCCGCCCGCTCACCCCCGGCCCCTCGCCCGCCCCGCAGCCCAGCCGCAGCCGGGTCGCGCCGTTCTCCCCTTTTGTCTCCGCGCTGCCCGTCCGTGCGGGGCTCCGCGCCCCGACCTCGCCCCGCTTCGGGTTGGGGTTGGGGGAGTGTGGGGGGGGAGAAGCACCGGAGAGAGCCGAGGAGCCGGGAGCCGTGCAGCGCCGGGAAGAGGGATGGAGGGATTCCCTGCTCGCCCTCGCTTCGCGTTCTCCCGCTTCTTCGCTTACTATTTTTTGGAAGATTTTCAAAAAAAAAAAAAAAAAAAAAAGAAGTGGAAGTGGATTTTGATTGGGAAAAATCTCGTGTCTGAATGTTTACAAGCACCGCGTGTGCGGGGAGCCTCCTGCCAACAAACACAGGCGAGAGCGAGCCCGGGCTCAGCACACACGCACTCATCCTCATCCTCATCCCCTCAACCCCAACCAACGGCCCTTCCTCGCCGCCGCCGTTCAACCCCCGACCCGAACCCGCTCTCTCCGGGAGAAAGGGGGGGGGGAATCCACCCCCCCCCCACCCCCCCCCAAAACCCCGAGCTCCGTCCGCACCGTTCGCAACACAAAAAACTCTTGCGGCTCCGCTCCCTCCCTCCTTTCCCTCCCTGCCTTCCTCCCGCCGCCGCCACACACACCAGGGCGAGATGCGAGATAAGCGGGAGCGCTCTTTGCACAACAAAAGGCAACTCGAGCTGGAAAGGTTTGGGGCGAGGGGGGTGGGAAGGGAAGGAGGAAAGGAGAATTCCCCTTTTCCTCGGGATGAGCCTGGGGGGGGGTGGAAGCGGGATTCGCTGCATGCTTCTCGCTGCTTCCCCCCCCCCCTTTCTCCTCTTGTGTTTTCCTCTTTCTTTTCTCTTTTCCCCCATTACTCCCTGCGGGTTTTGTTCCCTCCAAGGGATGGCAGAAAAACCCAGGGCGATTTCTTCCTGCCGGCGCCGCTCGGCTCCCGCTTCCCTTCGCGAAGCAAAAACACCCCATAAACTTTGCGATGTGGCCCTGTCCCCGCTGCCCATCCACCCGTCTGCAGCCGGGGCCACACCGACCCCTTGCCTAGACGTTTCCCCACACCCGGGGGTGGGGGGGGATCGCGGGGTTCATTCCTTCCCCCCCCCCCCGTTGTTTTTCTCCTTTCCCCGCCACTTCTCGGGGTTTTGGTTCATTTTGCATGGCCCAGCGCTGCGTCGCGGTTTCATCACCCCCGGCACGGTTTTGGGGGTGCGACCCCCCCCATCCCAAAGTGGGGTCGTAGTGATGGTGGTGGTGGTGGTGGGGGTGTCTTTTTCCCGCAACCGGCGTGGAAGGGGGGTGTGTGTGAAAAGGGGATCTTAAGGGGGATGAGGGGAATGGGGGGGACGTGGGCTCCGACCCGCATCGGGAACATGCGGGATCCCCGCGGTTCTCTTCCGCCGAGACACCCGCGGGCCGGCGCGGAGTTACCGCACGTGTGGGGTGGGAGCGGCGGCGGGGATGGGGATGAGGGGGGGCGCGGCGAGAAGCGCTCCAGGGAAAGGGAAAAAGGGGGGGGGGGGGGTGTGGGCCGGGATATGGAGGTAGAGGGGGTGTGTGTGTGGAGGGAAGGGAAGGGGAGGCCGGGCTGGGGGAGCGGAGAGCCGGGGGGATGCGGTACCGGAGCCGCCTGCGTGCCCGTTTCTGTCGCTAGGAGGCACAGCGAGATCAAACAACCAGGCAGCCTCGCGAACTTGAACCTGGCCGGTTCCTCCGTTGCCTCCCGGCCGGCAAACACCCCCCCTCCTCTCCTCTCCTCCTTCTTCTTCTTATTCTTCCCCTTCTTTCTATTCCTTCCTCCCTTCTTTGTTCTTAGTTTTGCGCGGAGTTTGCTTGCTCCGGTGATGCTTGTGGTCCCCTTCTTCGGGTCTTCATCCCCGCTCCGTAACGTGTTGGTGGTTCCTATTTTAACCCCCAAGTCCCTGTTTTTCCTTGGATAGCACGATGCCAGGACACAAACTTGGGATTAAACAGCTTCTTCCCCATCCTTCCCACGGTAGCATGCGGGGAAATGCCCCGGCAGCGCATCCGCGCTGCCGGGGCATTTCCCCGCATGGTACCGTGGTATCCCCCCTCCCTTTACTCCATCCCCCCTTGTACCTCCTTTCTCCCGACACTCCCAAATCCACCCCGCTTTTGCCAGAGAAACGCTTGTTTTGCTGCCTGAGGAAGAAGCAGCTGAAACCTCCACGTTGGTGGAGGAAAAAAAAAGGGCATTTTGCATGAAAAATAGGGACGGATGATTAAGGACCCAGGCAGGGAATTGCGATCGCCCCAGAATTCAAACAGACTCAGGTGAATTGTATCCCGGCGTTCCAAATGTTATATTTTGTTATAAAAGTAGCAATAATAATAAAAACATCATTTTTTTGGGGGGTGGGGGGGTGGGTTTGTATCAGGAGCCAAGTGTTTAGCACGGTGCCAGCCGTCTTTTTCCCAGGCATTAGGATATATAATTCTTGTTAATTAGCAATAATTTACATTAAGAGCAGAGAAAACGTTGAGGTTACAGCTTTTATATCTGTACATTTGATCGTCTTGTTATTTCCAAGAACTTTGCCTCCTATAAAATTAATTAGGTGAAATGTGGAGGTGTAATCAGCAACCTCGGAATTACCGCTCCAGTTTCCTGGTTCTGATTGTAAATCAGCCCCGCCGTCGGTGCGGACTTTAAAGCAAAGTCCTGGTTTGGTTTTAGCTCTTACTTTTAAGTGCCTGGTGTCGAAGCAGCGGGTTACCTTCCCCTGCTAAATAATACTGACAGCGTCAGGAAGAAATCAGGCCGCGGGAAAACATTATAATTGAGTCATGATTATGCAGAGCTCCTCGCTAAGCCAGTGGTAAGGGGAATCCGGGTTATTCCTTGTGCTGCGGAGAGTTGGTGGGGCTGGAAGTTGCCTAGTGCAAAATACCTTTTGTCTGCCGGCGTGCAGCGAGCCACGGCTGGAATTGAGTCCTTTGCAATCGTTTTCCCTCCCTCGCTTCGGAACGCAAGGAGGGAAAACGCCGTGCGCGGCGATCCCGCAAGGAGCACCCTGCTCCGTTCCCGTGTGCCTCTTCCCCTTGTTGCTCTGCTGAGTTTAGAGAAGAAAACCCTGGCGATGGAGATATTGTTTTTATTAATACGAGGGTAACCTTCATATTCCTGTGGTTGACCTTACGTTAAATTAGAAGTAGTACCAGAGGCGAGGAATGATGGGCTCGGATCCCCGTGTCCTACTTGGGGCTGGGGTACGGCCAGGTAGCGTGCTCTTTCAGTGTTATTTTACATGGCACAACTGGGAGCTACTCCAGATCTTCCTCCTCAATATTGAGCCGAGGAAGGGCTGGAATAAATTTAACCTGAGTTCAGTGGATTTTTTGCACTTTATCAAAATCAGTTCCAATATCGCGCAGTCAAATTAAAATCTATTTTTTGATTCTCTGTGGCTTTAAGTTCATTAAATGGGAGATTGGCAGCCAGCTAAAGAAGGTCAGGCTGATTAACTGTTTAGGAGGTGTATTCCGGCTCACTCGCCGTTACCTGGCACTGCTTTGAGGTGGGTTGGATTTGTAGTCCCCTCTCCCTCTGCTCGCTGCTGTTAATGTGTTGTATTGCACAGAGAGAGCAACACCAACACGCTCCTGGTACCTGGGATTTTTCTCCTCATGGAAAGCACTAAGGATGGGGACTGCCCTCCGATTTCCAAGGTGTTTCTCTGCAAACTGAACCCCCCCAAATTAATAACCCAACAGAAAAGAGCCGCATCTGCCTCGTCAGAGCATCCACTGCCGGTCCCGTGAGCACAAACAGCTTCGTAACGAAGCTTTTTGGAGCTCATTCAGGAAAGCTGTCAACTTTGACAACGTTAGGCAAAGGTATTTCGAGTTTAGAGAAGGGCCTTCACGCTGCTGCGAGGAAATGAGGCAGGCGCTTGGCCACGCTCATTTTTAGATGCTGTGAGGGCCACCGGTGCTGAGAGAATTTAACCATTCCTTTATTTCAGCATGAAAGAAAGGCAAAGAGCTACAGATTGCCTTCTGAGGCACTACAAAATATCCCACCTGGACAATAGCTTTAAGTGGACTTGGTGGTGAATTTGGTATTCATTTGGGGAGCAGCTGAGGAGTGCGAGGTGCCTCCCCCTGCCCCGCAGGCGCTTCTGCTGCAGTTGCTGTTTATCACTCTGGTTTCTGTCATCCGTCTATTCTGTATTTATTTGTCTCATCCCTTCCCTACCCTACCCCCCATAAATAACTCCTGGCTTTTGGGATCTTACATTTGGAAGCTGCAGAGGGGCTGTTGGAGGGATGGCGGCACCAATACCTACGTATAACGTAGGCACGTGCATTACGAGGGCTGCGTGTTCCCTGCGTGTTGGTGCCGGCGCGTGGCTCTCCCTCTCCTTCCTCTTACACGCACCAACACACGTGCTGCGTGCACGGCCTGCGTTGGGAACGTGTGGTATCCGTACGTTAGAGCACCTTTTGTCTGCACCCGTGTAGGCCAGGCTGCTGGGTTTCACCAAGTGGGTCTAGGCTGGTGGAAAGCACACACCCGTGAGAGCGCGTGCAGTGATTTGAGCATGGAATTCATATACATACATAATACACCCAGCAGTAAAGCGCCGTGCTCGTGTCTCCTCCTAGCACCACCAGAGTTTTGCAGTGTATTCCTGCAGCCTCTTCCTTTAATCTGAGCTCCGAATCGTTCGGCCGAGCCAGATTTGTCCTCGTGCAGAGGCAGAGGCAGTGCTGGCTCCCCGAGCTGTGCCTGATACAGCTGCAAAACCCCTTCCCTGTATCCGCTGAATCCACCTCCCCGCTGCCGTGCTAAGGGCTGTGCTGCATGGGTTTAGCTGGGGGATGGAGGTGGTGAGCAGGGGGTAATATTCCTGGAGAAGGAAGGGGCTCGGTGCCTTTTTCCCTCGAGAGCTCTAATGATTCTCCTTTTGTTTCTCAAACTGCAGCCGAACCTCTTGAAGCCATTCTTACTGATGACGAACCTGAACATGGCACATTGGGAGCTCCGGAAGGGGACCACGACCTCCTCACTTGTGGCCAGTGTCAGATGAACTTTCCGTTGGGGGACATTCTTGTTTTTATTGAGCACAAACGGAAACAATGCAATGGCAGTCTCTGCTTAGAGAAGGCTGTGGATAAGCCACCTTCACCCTCACCAAGTGAGCTGAAAAAAGCATCCAATCCCGTGGAGGTTGGCATCCAGGTTACGCCAGAGGATGACGATTGTTTATCAACGTCATCTAGAGGAATTTGCCCTAAACAGGAACATATAGCAGGTAAATTAAAGCAAGGAGAAGCGTTTGCGAGTTCGTTTCCGTTTCAGTTGCCAGCGTAAGCGTTGTTCGCAGTTGTAAAACTGCCGGTGTCTGTCTCTCTGTTCTGCTCGACGTGTTCAATGCACCCTGCCTTTGGGCTAGCGGGGAGCCGGTATTCCCCAGTGCCTGCGCAGAGGCAGGAGCAACAGGCACGTGCCGTGCCAGCCGGTGGTTCTAGCGGCATTGTTTGAGGCTGCTCTCGCGATGTGCCTGTATTGTAGTCACCGTCTCCCGGGGAGGAGGTTTCGGAGCCGGCTGTGCCATCCAGCGAGGAGCTTCCGAGCCTTGGGCAAAGGCAGGGGTTGAAAGAGTTAACTGAGCATCAGCCAGCCTTTGGTTCCATATTGGCTGTCAGCAGCGTATGGACTGTAATTAAACACAGCCCCATGGCAAAGTGACACCACCGACCTTGACTTTAAGATGCCATTTTCGACTGGCCAGGCCAGAGTAGAGAGGGCAGTTGCTGAAGCGCACAGACGTGCTCATTCGGAAAGTTTAAGGGCACGTTGGATATTTCAAAAGGTTGGTTTGACAGGAGAGGCTGCTCTCTGCAGCCTGCCTCCTCAGCCCGATGATAAATGCTTCGCCGTGCTCTCCCTCGCCTCTGATGTGGTTTTGACAGATGTATCTTGATTTTGTTTGCGGTTTACACAACCATGTGTCAGTCGTACAAGTGTCCGAGGCACCGCTCTGGTTTGTGCAACGGAACGGTGTGAAATGTGATTTAGAAAATAACAACAACAAAAATAAGGGGAAATGATTGCATTTCTTAGTGTGATTTTGTGTCCTTTCCTTTCAACCCGAGAGCCGTTTCGCCGCGCAGGTATTTTCACATGGGAGGCTAGGAAAACCCAGAGCGTTCTACGTGAAAGCAGACCCCAGAGCCCTGGCAGTGTAACAGGACACGCTCCGCTTTGAGAACCCTGCTGTAAACAACAGTCCTGCCCGTTCGCAGCGAGCGTTGCAAATCGCTTCAGACCGCGCCGCTGCTGCCAGGTGAAAGAGGCGAGACCGCAGCGTATCCACACCAGCAAACACCCCATCCAGTCCCAAACTTCCCTTCCCAGTGAGGTCTGGGATGTGGCACTGCCGCTCCCTGCCTTTGGGGAGCCCGCAGGACCGCTGAGGGTTGTCAGAGGCACGGTACATCATCATCACATGGTGTGCTGGAGCTTGTCTTGGGCTTGCTTTGGCCACAGAGTTAAACCATAATTGGGCAGTAGGCGAGGGGAGGTTTCAGTGCGATGCTCCCGCAGCCTCTCTGGCCTCCGAACTGGGCATCAAATTGTGTTGGGAGCGATGCAGCTCTGGAGGCTTTGTGGTGGCAGCGAATACTCATCCATGTATACGCACATGTATGTATGCAAAGCCATGTGTGCGCACACGCATACGTCATGCGAATGAGTATATGCTAGTTCTGCAGGGTGATGGGTACTGCTTTGAGTACTTGTTTAAGAGGAGCCAGGAGCTCAGCTACTGCTGAGCCACGTTTTGAATGAGGCTTAAAAAAACCCACCCCAAGAATCCCTCCTATTGCCCATCCCAGCCAGATCCGACGGAAAGCGAGAGCCGAGGCACAGGGCATGATTAATGAAGCGGGGTCCTGGCGGAAGGGATCTGTAGTCTTCCGAGCTCTGGAGCCATCCTAAATCACCAAATATGGAGGAGCAGCAGCGTGATGTAACGCTGTATTTACGCACGGCGCCGCTCCGCTGAGCAGACAAAACACAGTGTCTGTCAAGCAGGAATGAAGCACGCTCTCCTCCCGTGGTCCCGGAGCGGTCCCTTGGCCGCAGGGATGGGAAGCTCTGTTGCTCTGGTGGTGCTTGGTCAAATCACCCTTTGGTGATGTGAAGGGAGAAGGGTTTGATGTTGTGGTGCTGTTAGGTCAGAAGAGGCTGTGGTTTTAACGGACTTTAACGGTTCGGTGAGCAGTGGGTATGGAGAGGTGCGCAGCGGCCTCATCCTGCTTGCTCTTGCACGTGGGGATGGGCTTTGCTCTGCAGGTGATGTGCAGGAAGGTCCGCGGTGCAAACCACGCGTGCTGTTGTGAACAGAGATGGAGCTGTGTTGTCCAGGCATCTCCCACCCTGAGTTTTCTATGTGGTGATGCCCAGTGTGCCCATGGATGGGATGTCCAAGAGTGCAGGTCTTTGGCACCACCCCTCTTGGGATCGAGCTGATGGGCATTGAGGTCCCCTGGTTGTCACGGTGGTGGGACATGCAGTGGGAAGGAGCACTAGGAGTTATGTGGGATTGCACTGTCCCTCTCCTTCGTGTTTACATTTCCCTTTTCACTTGGATGAGTTGAGCTCACCGAGAAGCACGGTGATAGCTGGAGTGACCCATTGCCTGCAGCTGGGAATTGGGCGGTCTGGCAGTAATATTCCCAGTGAGGGTCTGGGATTTGAGCTGTGGAGTTCAGGTTTCTGGAAGGCCCCTGCAGTGAACCTCAGGCGCTTCCAGCTTCTGTCTTTTATACCCGATTTCTGTGCAAGGATGCAAAGTGCAAAAAGATAGATAGGAGTAATTAAAAACCATAAAGGACAGAGGCTGCCTATAGGAAAATACACAGGACTTGAGGGAACTGATTCTTTCTCATAAGAGACCTGAAAATATGCATTGTAAAAGCACCCCACATCAGTTGTTAGGCTGAAAGAGGTGCTGTGGGTTAGCCCTGGACACAGAGGTGCCCTGGGTACAGCTGTGTAGTCAGTAAGTTGGTGTGTTTCCCTAAAACACCGTTAAATACAACCAGTGCTTAAGGATCAGCTCACCTAAAGACAAGGAAGGAGGCAGAAACGCTGTCTGTTTAAACCAGCGATGGGCTGCTCTTTATCCCCACAGTTTTCCAGAGACTGGGATGAGCCGGAGGGCTTCCATGTGTGTGTGTGTGTGTGCAACCTGTGCAGTAGCTGGGAGACCATCGGTGCAGGAACGCGTCCCTGCCTCTTCCATGTGGGTGTCAGCCTGCGTCGCTGTAAAACCTTGAGTGATGCTGATCCAGCGCGAGAGCTGAAATGTCATAAATTGAACTGGAAATTAATAGGAGATGTGGTGTGGGTCCAACGAGGCAGCTTTCATCAATATGTATGTCAAAGCCTCACCACCAGATACCGGCAGCCCGTGATTTGCAGTGAGTGCAGCGGCAGGGCTTGAGTTACCCGCTCTCGTATTTTACAGGAGGGGGAAATATGAAGTGAAGTATCTGGAGATCAGCGCGTGTAAAATTGCTGCTCACTTATTGAAAGGGCTGGAGAATTATTTATCGTGTGCCCGGTGGCAGGCTTTATCAGTTTGTTCAATGTAGAAATCCGAGGGAATTAATGAAAGGTTTTGTTTTGGGCGAGGAAAGAGCTGAAATGCTTCTTGGATGCAGTTGGAGGAACACTTTGGAGCGCTGCTGCGTATTCCCCCTTCGTAACGCCGAGTGTGCATCCGCGGATGCCGTATTTACTGTACAAAGAGGGGAGGAGGAGGAGGTCATTTTTACTGCTTGAATCCTTTATTCTCCAGCTGCTTGTGGCATTCAAATAGAGTACGTGGGAAAACAGCGTCAGAACAGCCTCTGCCTGCGGTAGCCGGGGCAGGGTGGATGTGATTTTGCACTGGATGTTGGGCATTGGTTTGATTATTGCGGTTCTCAGGAGGTAATGTCTCTGAGCTGAATTTGTCTTGGGCTGTTAATAGTTGCCGTTAGGATTCTGGCGGTTGTAAATTGCGATCCCATATCATTTGGTTTTGTTGCGGAGACAACAAATTATTGGTGTCTATTGAAGGGTTAGCTCTGCGTCTGGACAATAAGATGAGAGCTTAAAATAAGGAGGGGGAAAAGAGGAATATGGCAATATTTTGGAGTCAAATCCCGCCTGCTTTCCCCATACAAAGGAACAGAGAGCACAGGCTGGGCAAAACACTCTCAGGCAGGAGGAACAGTGTGGGTGCTGAGATTGGGAGCCCCGTGTATTTGTAAATAAGGCAGGGAAAGGTTGTGAACCGGCAGCTCGGCTGTTTTGTCGCAGTACAATGTCAGAGCGGCTCTTTCTAAGACAAATTGTAAATAGAAGTGTCACGATGATTGCATGATTGAGCTCTCCAAGTGTCTTGCAATTGTTGGCATTGTCAGAAGACTTTTGAAAGCTTAATTAAAGGCGGTGGCCTGCGCCGCGGTGAAATGCACTTCTCGGGGAGGGGGAAAGTGGGAGAGATGTCGGGGATCCCAAAGTTGCTCCGATGCTGCTCGTGTGGGGACACAGGGAGAAGCCAGTGGAGTCTCTTTGCCTTTTATAAATAGCATTTTTTGGAGGAGCAAGCACGTGACACCAGTACCATCCTCTGTACGAGGTAGAGATTGTGTTAGCTTTCCTATTCCCTGCTGCTGCAGCCAGTCACTGTAAAAATGCCTCTTTATTGGAAACACAAATAGGAGTTCACTCGAAGCACAGAACCAGGGTAGAAAGTTTTCCTCTGCTCTCGGGGAGCATCCAAGCATTGTGGTGCCTTGAATATTCCTCCTTTAATCTTGTTTCCTCCAAATCAGATCTTCTGGTTTAGGGGATGAGCAATCTGCTTTGCATTCTTTCTCCTATTGCACGGGATGTTGTAATTGTGGAGCTCACCATGGGCAGAAGCATCGCTGCCTCCAAAATGCTTGTGGTTGTCCCGGCACGCGTTAAGCTTCGTATTGATCTCCAAAGGGGCACGTTAGCATCACGTGCTGAAAGCTTTGCAAAGAGACATAAGGCTCTGTGTAGCAAGTCCCCACAACCAAGGCTGGGTGATGGAAACTGAGGCAGGGAGTAAATTAAGCACCTTCTAATTAGCCCGGTGGGAGAAGTAAAGTCTTCCCTAAACATTCCCATCATCTGGTAATGCCTCTTTTAAAGAGGAGGAGGCCTATTAACATCACCCTGTCTTGTATATGCAGCCATCAGCCCACGAGCTCTTACTGCATCCAAATA